CCAGGCATGGTGGCATGCACCTACCTGTAATTCCAGCTACTTCGGAGGCTGAGGCAGGAGAATCACTTGAACCCAAGAGGCGGAGGCTGCAGTGAGCTGAGACGGTGCCACTGCACTCCAGCCTGACCAACAGAGTAAGACTTGTCTCAAAAAAAAAAAAAAAAAAAAAAAAAAAAAAAAAAAAAAAAAAAAAAAAAAAAAAAAAAAAAAAAAAAAAAAAAAAAAAAAAAAAAGAACTGCCTGAGACTGGGTAATTTATAAAGGTAAGATGTTTAATTGACTCACAGTTCAGCACAGCTGGGGAGGCCTCGGGAAACTTTCTATCATGGTGGAGGGAGAGGCATGGCACGTTCTTCACAAGGTGGCAGGGAGAAGAGTGGCGGAGGCAAAGGAGAAGAGCTCCTTATGAAACCATCAGATCTTGTGAGACTCACTATCAGGAGAACAGCATGGGGGAAAGTGCCCCCATGATTCAATTACCTCCACCTGTTTTCTCCCTTGACATGTGAGGATTATGGGGATTACAATTCAGGATGAGATTTTGGGTTGGGACACTAAGCCTAACCATATCAGGTAGTTTTCAGTATACAAATGACAGTAGGTAAAGTCATAGACATATATGTGATCTCCCAGAGAAAATGCGTAAAGACAGAAGAAAACAAGACAGAATGAGATACTAGCGAAAACTACCTGTTAAGCAAAGGGTGAAGAAGAAGCTAGAGGAAAGAGCCAGTGGAGGGACATGAGAGACGATAAGGGACAGTCTTCAGGGCTGGAAGTAAATGCTATCTTTCTAACCCACAGCAATCCCTTGCATAAAATCTACTCTTTATAAATGTCTTGAAATTGAACAACCTTATAATCCCAAATAATGAACACAGCAAATATCCACCCTTATGGCACATTTAAAAGACTTACAAAGTTGAGCAAAACTCAAATTAGATCTGTGACTCTCCTAGAACACCAAGAGTCTGTGGAAGGTACATTGTCATTAAGTATGAGCAACAGCCTAGGCACTGTAAGAAATCATTCCTTACATTTATGTCCAGCTAAGGAGGCTTTTCAAAGCTTTATCCACAAACTTTCATAGCAAGGTAACATGTTACTGTTTTGCAATTTGCTAAAGATCATGTGAAATACTGACTCTTCTAAGTTTTGCAACTGACTAATATAAAATTGTGTAGTCTCCTCCTAAAAGAGGATATAGGAATCATGTATATGAAAACTGCTTACTTCTCACTTGAAGCAGTTACTAGAGCATCTTGTGAATTCTTAGTTGTACTGCTGTAATAACCCTTCTGGGTATCTAAACTGTTTTCATTATTTATCCCTCATCACACTTGAAATTTCTACACCCTAAAGACAAACATTTAGTAGAAAATGAGTTCCCTCAAAGTTCAAAAAAGCTGGCCTCCATTTCTAGCTCAAGACAAGTGTTTTCTCAGGAAATAACTCAAAGTGTTTTCTAAACTTTAATGTGGATACAAATCATCCGGGGATCTTGATAAAAGAAGACTCTCATCCAGTAGGTCAGAAGCCATACCTATATTCCGCTGTTCCAACAAGCTCCCTCCTGCATGAACACAAAGCTCTGGTCCACATCAGCTGCTCAAATGTGGTCCTTGAACAAGAAAAGTGTTGGAAGCACATGGGAGCTGGACAGAACCAGAACTACACTTCCCTCAGTGTGACAAACAGAACATGATACTATCATCTGCTCAAACAGGTGACTCTAGAAATTTACCTTAAATTCTTTTCTTCAAAATCCACTTAAAAACTGATTCAATCACACTTTCTTATTGTTATTAAGAAAAGATCTTTTCTCTCCATTCCTTTCTATTATTTTAAACTGGGAGTCCAGCCCTTAAGCCCCTCCACAGTATGGCCCCGGCTGTTTCTTTCAGGCTTCTCACCTGTAATCCCCATAGAGGTCACAGCATGCCAGTTCCAGGAAATATAAATCATGCTCTCTCATCATACCCCCTCTTGTTTTGCTTCGGTTTGTTGTAGTTGATGATTTCGATATCAGGCCAGTCTCTACTATGTATCACGTCCTCCTTCTCTAGTCACACTGCCTAATCTTTCAATGAGAAATGTTCTCACCATTCTTGGAAGCAGCCATTCACCCCCACTACATAGCAATTTTTCTTTCGTTATAATATTAACATATAATAATATATATTTCATATAACATTCTGCTGTATAAAAGATCCTGTATCTTATATATACAAGGATGGGTCCTGGTCTTATTCCTGTTACTGAATTTCAAGCTACTTGAGGGCAGGAATCTTTCTTACTTATTGTAATACTTCTGTCATTGCTTAAAGTAGTTTTGTACTCATACTATGCTAACTAAAAATCTATTAAAATGAAGTAAAGCACTACTCATTATTGATGATAAACAATCTAAATATTCTCAAATTACAAATCTAAACAATGTTTCTTATATCTTCAAATATGATTGGTTTCTTTTCTTTCTTGTTATCGTACTTTAAGTTCTGGGATACATGTACACAACATGCAGGTTTGTTACATAGGTATACACGTGTCATGGTGGTTGGCTGCATCCATCACCCCTTCATCTACATCAGGTATTTCTCCTAATGCTATCCCTTCCCTAGCTCCCCAGGCTCCAATAGGCCCCAGTGTGTGATGTTCCCCTCCGTATGTCCATGTGTTCTCATTGTTCAACACCCATCTATGAGTGAGAATGTGCAGTGTTTGGTTTTCTGTTCCTGTGTCAGTTTGCTGAGAATGATGTTTTCCAGCTTCATCCATGTGCCTGCAAAGGACATGAATTCATTCTTCTTATGGCTGCATAGTATTCCATGGTGTATATGTGCCACATTTTCTTTATCCAGTCTATCACTGATGGGCATTTGGGTTGGTTCCAAGTTTTTGCTATTGTGAACAGTGCCACAATAAACATATGTGTGCATGTGTCTTTATAACAGAATGATTTATAATCCTTTGAGTATATACCCAGTAATGGATTGCTGGGTCAAATGGTATTTCGATTTTTACATCCTTGAGGAATCACCACACTGTCTTCCAAATGGTTGAACTAATTTACATTCCTAGTGTAAATTTTATTTTCTACTTTTGTCATTTTAGATTAAAAATTGGGCACAGTGTTTTAATATGCATTTTTCCCAGCTAGAACATTTTTTGAATCTCAGAAATATTTAATTGTGCTTAATGTATTTTATCAGAACTTAAATTCTCAACCAGCTAATTTGGCATTTTCATATTGAACAGGCCAAATGGTGGTTTACCATCTGAGAAAAGTTAATTGTGTAATGAAATCTTCATGAAACCATTATAAAATTGCACATAAACAGTGAGAAAAAGAGCCTACACAGCAGCATGGAAATCATTAACTCTGTTACAGTGAAATAAAGCCTGGTGACAAAGGTTAACTTCTGGAAACTAAAGGCTCTTCAGTATACCTGAAAAACTCCAAGGTGGGAGGAGAACGCTCTGTTTCCTGTACATCATGAAGTTCACATTAGTTCAACGTCACCTAAGCAGATGACATCTCAAGTACAAACCCCAAAAACAATCTAATGGAACGTAGTAAGATCAGACATAAATTAAATAGTGAGTCAATGCAAAATATCCTCTACTAAATTCTGAAGATAAACAGACAAAATAACTTAATTTTGAGTAACTTAAAAATGAGCCCAGGTCATTCAACATCTAACCAAGGAATAGAATGTGAGATCAGAGCTTAAAAGTGATATGGAGTTGTGATCAACACCAATGACTGTTAAAGAAAACTGAATGTTCAAAACCACATGACCAGGCTAAGGCAGGAGGGGCCCTTGAGCCCAGGAGTAGGAGTTTGAGCTTTCAGTGAGCTGTGATTGCTCCATTGCACTCCTCCAGCCCGGTTGACAGAGTGAAATCGTCTCTTAAAAAAGCAAAACAAGAAAAACCCTGCATTGCCCTAAAAGCAAGAATTCAAGGGAACAATATAGCTTCACTTAGGTTCTATTTGAGAGCTACTTGGACAATACTGAGCATCCTACAGGAAGAAAAAAAGTACCCCCATATGTTAAAAAAGCCCAGCAATGATTTCACATATGACTGGTTAGTTAGCTTTCCTATTCTTAAAAGTCATATCTTTGGCAATGGGAGGGTTTCTGGCTGACAGAATAATGGCTCCCTCAAATGTCCACGTCCTAATCCCCTGAACTTATGAATACAACCTTACATGGCAAAAGGGACATTGTGATTGATTCCGACCTTGAGATGGGAAGATAATCCTGGACCAAGAAGGGACCAGGAAATCACAAGAGTCTTCAACTTGGAAGAGGGAACCACAAGAGGAGGTGAGAGTGATGAGGTGTGAGGAGGACTCAACAACCTACTGTTGCTGGCTTTGATAACAGAGGAAGGGGCCATGAGCCAAGGAATACAAGCAGCCTTCAACAGCTAGAAGAGGCATGGCAGCAGATTCTCCTTCACAGCCTCCAGACAGAAATGCAACTCCGTTTCAATTTTAGCCTAGTGAGACCCACAGTGGACTTCCAAATTATAGAATTTTAAGATGACCAATTTGTGCTTTTAACCACTAATTTGTGGGTATTTGTTATGGCAACAATAGGAAACTAATACATGGCTGAACTGCTATAAAAATTGTCTAAAACACACACAGATAACTCCTTAAAAGTACAGTGTGATGCTCTATAAAATGCTCATCAAATATATTAATATTTAATTTGCATGACTGCTCCTCTGTAAAAAACTATCAGCATTACACTTAAAATTACATTTTATAAAAAGATTGAACACAAATACAATTAACTTTAATCAAAAAGTTAGGTTAGAAAACAAAACAGAACAAGATATTTTCAACCAAACAAGAAGGTGGTAAAAATTAATTAAGGAAAATTTGACACTCCTCACAGGTAACATTTAAAAAGGAACCACCACAGTATCTGTCTTAATAGCTCAGCCAGAGGCAAATCAGTATTTCTTTTAAAGTTCATATTTACCTGATGATCCTCTGGGCAGCATACTGATGGAGAGAACGAAACTGTGCCGACATATTTGCTAAAGCTGCCAAACAATTTGTGTGAAGGTATTTGTCCTGTGAGGAAACAGAAAGCGTAAAACATACAATCTCTATATTTTAACCAAGGTTAACTTAACTATTAATAGAAGCAAATGTAAACTCCGTTGTCACTGATTTTAGTAAGCTCAGATCCACAATCTCTTTTTTCTAATTCTAAATCCATAAAGCACTGGAAATTCAAAGTTTTTTCACAATACAAAAAATGATGATGTTCCTGGTAGTCTTCCTTATTCCCTCCATGGCGAATATTGAAATATTCTGCTACAGAAATATAATGTTTAATTACAGCATGCTACTTAAGACCCTAATGGTTACTCATAGTAGAGTACATAAACTATAATTATCTTTCTAAAATCCAAAAACTTTTGCTTTCTAAAACATAGCTGGCTCCTAGGGTTTCAGATAAAAAACATGAATGTGTATCTACAATAGCCCCACAGAGGAAAGTAACTGAAAATGGGCTGGGAGCTGTGGCTCATGCCTACAATCCCAACACTTTGGGAGGATCACTTCAGGACAGAAGTTCAAAACCAATTCAAGACCAGTCTGGGTAATATGGTGAGGCTTTGGCTATAAACAAAAAAAAAAAAAAAAAGAGTCAGGTGTGGTGGCACATGCCTGTAGTCCTAGCTCCTCAGGAGGGTGAGGCAGGACGACCACGTAAGCCCAGGGGCTGGAGGTTACAGTGAGTGCCACTGCACTCCAGTGCAGCCTAGGCTGGGGTACCGTGGCACAATCATAACTCAAAAAAAAATTCCACTTCTCTTAGTTATGAATTCTGTACACTGCTTCTCTTTAACAATATATATCTATTGTCCAGAACTGAAATTTGCTCCCGGGTTCAGTGAATAGAATCCACCAGAAATTTTTCTTGTATTCTTTAAAATACTCTCTTTCTTCTGCTTTTCTTTCTCATTTGAATCCAAATTTTCTTGTGCTCATATCCTCTTGTACTTTGTTATTTGTTGCTATTAAAAGGCAAGTCGGTATTACTGGCCAAATAACATACAATAGCTTTTATCTAAATCTTTTGCACTGCTTGTTTTCTATTTCATGTGAAATACCTCTAATCATACAATCCATTCAATATTAAGAAAAAGATCTTATGTTACATTAGGATCATGTAATACAGTGACTATACACTGATCTGTATTTTCTGCCATGTCATGAGAAATTTTAGCACCCTAAAAATTGGGATTGATTTACACTATTGTCTTAAACTATTGTACTGTATGCAAAAAAGATAGAACAGCAGCTGGAATACTTACCCTCGTCCTAGTCATGTTGTACTGAATGGTTCTTATTACCACCAGGATCAGGAGACTCCCCAAGGAGATTTCAGTTAAAACTCGTTCTGAATACCAAGTAATATTCTTTAGTATCTGTAATAGGGAACAGAAGTTTAAGTAAAAACTGAATGTTTTACAGACAAAAGAATTACTCCATGTCCACAATTTTTGATAAGCCATGACTTTGCTCTGAAGCTGAATTTAGCAGCACAGAGAGAAGTCACGAAAGCAAATGATCCAGATCTTCAAGGAGAGCTGCTCCAGTGTTCTGCCATGGCCATGGAGAGCAGGCAGTTCTGGCGCACACCTCCAGGCCTAAGTAAGCAAGAACTGTTTTCTAAGTTAAGACATTTCCACTGCAGATTTGTAACCTGGGGATGAGAGACAGAGACAGCGACAGGGACACACACACACACACACACACACACACAGAGAGAGAGAGAGAGAGAGAGAGGGGGGGGGGAGAGAGACAGGGACAGGCAGGCAGGCAGGTACAAATACTGGGGAGCACAGCAGCCAAATCAGGGCTGCCACAAAGAAAGAGGTAAAATGTGGGAAAAAAAAACCAAAACCAACAGGCTCAGCTGAGCACTAGAACTCCCTAATGTTCTCTTCCATTACGGTTACTCCTGTATCCTTTCTCTATGACTCAAGGAGAGTCGCTGTGCCATATTATTCTCTATCTATGCATGAAAAAGAAGAGACTTCTGGGCTGATTCTTGCCTTCTCCCTTAAGAAGATGGACATAGAGCACAGCAGACTCCTCACCACTTAGAACCGAGTGGGAAAACCCACCACTTTGCAAAACACGTTAGTCTAGACTTGTTTATAACTACAGAGGAGCAACAAAACCACCAAGAAAGTGAAGACAGTCAACAGCCTAAGAGAGTGATATGCTGAACCTCATCAAGACTCTCCTCCAATTACCAGTGCACATGAAATATACAGGACAGAACACGTTAAATACCGTGATGATACGTAACCAGCTAAAGACAAATGCAGGGAATCCTACTAAACAGATAGCCCAGTTTCTTCAACAAGGGATTAAAAAAAAGTTGGGACAGGGAAAGAGTGCTATAGATTTATGACTCTTAAGAACTAAATACAGTAGATGTTGGAATCTGATTCAAACAAATCAACTACAGAAGACATTTTTAAAGATAATTAGAGATAATAAATTATTAGGAAGAATTTAAAAATTGTTAATTTTGTTGAATGTACTAATGGTATATATTTTTTAAAATCCATACTTACTGAAAGAACATACTAAAATGTTTACACATGAAAATATATGGAATATTTATTTTAAAAAATAGAATGTAGATGACAGAGAGATGGATGGAGCAAACCATCATAGCATGTGCATACCTATGTAACAATCCTACACGAACTGCACATATACCCCAGAACTTAAAGTATAATTAAAATAAAAAGGAATTTAAAAATATTTTAAGGTAGAAAAAAATAGAAATCAAAATGTAAAAGACAGTGAGGCTAAGGTAGGTGGATGAAAGAAGAACAGCAGAGTGTTAATAATTACATGAAGATCCATGCTACTACTTTCTGCAATTATGTTTAAGTTTCACAGTGTTCATAATCAAAACTTTATCAAGTATATAAATAAATAATAAAGTGTGAAACTGAACAGGAAAGGCAAACAGATCTCCAAATTAAACAGTGAGGATTTAGGAAGCTGTAATTTTTGAAAAAAAATTCTAATTAACAGAAGCCTTGGAAGTAACACCACACATCTACAACTATCTGATATTTGACAAACCGGACACAAACAAGCAATGGGGAAAGGATTCCCTGTTTAATAAATGGTGTTGGGAAAACCGGCTAGCTATGTGCAGAAAGCTGAAACTGGACCCCCCTTCCTTACACCTTATATATAAATTAACTCCAGATGGATTAAAGATTTAAACATAAGACCTAACACCATAAAAACCCTAGAAAAAAACCTAGGCAACACCATTCAGGACACAGGCACAAGCAAGGACTTCATGACTAAAACACCAAAAGCAATGGCAACAAAAGCCAAAATAGACAAATGGGATCTAATTAAGAGCTTCTGCACAGCAAAAGAAACAATCGTTAGAGTGAACCGGCAACCAACAGAATGGGAAAAAATTTTTGCAAGCTACCCATCTGACAAAGAGCTAATATCTAGCATCTACAAAGAACTAAAACAAATTTACAAGAAAAAAACAGCTCCATCAAAAAGTGGGCCAAAGACATGAACAGACATTTTTCAAAAGAAGACATTTATGCAGCCAGCAAACATATGAAGAAATGCTCATCGTCATTGGTCATCACATTGAGATACCATCTCACACCAGTTAGAATAGTAATCATTAAAAAATCTGGAGACAAATGCTGGAGAGGATGTGGAGAAATAGGAACACTTTTACACTGTTGTTGGGAGTGTAAATTAGTTCAACCATTGTGGAAGACAGTGTGGCGATTGCTCAAGGATCTAGAACTAGAAATACCATTTGACCTGCAATCCCATTACTGGGTATATACTCAAAGGACTATAAATCATTCTATTATAAAAGACACATGCACAGATATGTTCACTGCAGCATTGTTTACAACAGCAAAGACCTGGAACCAACCCAAATGCCCATCAATGATAGACTGAATAAAGAAAATGTGGCACATATATACCATGGAATAGTATGTAGCCATAAAAAAGGATGAGTTCATGTCCTTTGCAGGCACATGGATGAATCTGGAAACCATCATTCTCAGCAAACTGACACAAGAACAGAAAACCAAACACTGCACATTCTCACTCATAAGTGGGTGCTGAACAATGAGGACACAGGCAGGGGAACATCACACAATGGGGTCTGGTGTGGGATTGGGGGCTAGGAGAGGGATAGCAGGGAGTGAGGAGGTTGGTGAAGGATAACATTGGGAGAAATACCTAATTTGTCGGTGGGTGATGGAGGTAGCAAACCACCATGGCAAGTGTATACCTATGTAACAATCCTGTAAGATCTGCACATGTACCCCAGAAATTAAAGTATAATAAAAAAATTTTTTTAATTAAAAAAAATTCTAATTAGCCAGGTGCGGCGACTCATGCCTGTAATCCCAGCATTTTGAGAGGCCAAGGTGGGCAGATCATGAGGTCAGGAGATCGAAACCATCCTGGCCAACATGGTGAAACCCCATCTCTACTAAAATACAAAAAAATTAGCCGGGCATGGTGGCGCACACCTGTAGTCCCAGCTACTCAGGAGGCTGAGGCAGGGGAATTGCTTGGACCTGGGCGACAGAGGATACAGTAAGCTGAGATCATGCCATTGCACTCCAGCTTGAGTGACAGAGGGAGACTCCATCTCAAAAAAAAAAAAAAAAAAATTCTAATTAGTGTACTAGGTGAGATTTGACAGAATAATGCATCCATAAAATAGGAAGAGGCTGCTGAAAAGGGAAAATCACAGAACAAAGAAAAGTTGTTTAAAAATATGATGGCAACTAGGCATGGTGGCTGACGCCTGTAATCCCAGCATTTTGGTAGATCGAGTCCAAGAGTTTGAGACCAGCCTGGCCAAATGATGACTCTCTAAGAATACAAAAAATTAGCCGGGTGTGGTAGTGCATGTCTATAGTGCCAGCTTCTTGGGAGGCTGGGCACGAGAATCTCTTGAATTTGGGAGGTGGAGGTTCCAGTGAACTGAGATGGCGCCACTGCACTCCAGCCTGGGCATAGCAGAGTGAGCATTACGGAGAATTAAATTTGTGATGTGAAGGGCCAAACTGAGAATTTCTCCACAGAAACTATAAGAGAAAAGTACAGACATCATAGCTACTTTAAAATTCCAGAAGAAATAAACTGGAAGGAAAACATAACAATTAGTAATATGAGAAAATTTCTTGAGAAGAAAAAAAACATTCAACATTCCAAGAAAAAATCATGAAAAACAATCAAAACATTCTCGTAAGATTAATGAATTTGCAGTATATGAGAAAGTTCCACTGGCTTCCAGACAGAAGAAACATGTTATCACCAATGGAAAGAGAAGCAGACTAACCTTAGAGTTCCCATCTTGAGCTCTACACATCTGAAGGATAGCACAACAATGTCTCAAGATTTTTTAGGGAAAACATTATAATTCTAGAATTCTACATCTTGAGAAGCTACCACGTAAGTATGTGGCAAAATAAACTCAGCATGAACCACCCACGTACCATTTCTGGGAGAGAAAGAAAAAAAAACCACCACCACCACCACCACACATGTAAGTATTTAGCTACCCCTCCTCACCACAGTAACAGCAGGACAAATCCAGGAGAATTCAAGAGAAGGAGAATATGGAAATACAAACAGCAACAAACACAATAGTCATCCATGAAATCAGAAAAACAGAACTAAGTCTAAGTAATATGGTTGTAACTTAGTTTTTCTAAAATAATTAAAACAGATAATTCCCTAGCAAGTCTAACAAAAAAAAATTTCCAAAAAATATTAGTAATGGGAAGGGAGATAAAAAGAATAAATTTACAAAGGAATACCACGCTCAATTTCATGTCAATATATTTGAGAGTACAAGGATATACGGGTGACTTTCCTACACATATTATCACTCGGTTTATCTCTCTGGCAAGCCCCACATCACCCAGCATCCACCATATAAATATACCCACAACCGCATTCTCCACTCAGAGGCTGGCATATAACAAATACACGCTACGTGGTGGTTAGATATTATTTAGAATTGAAAAGTAAAAAATATAAAAGTTTGGCATGGTGGCTAACACCTGTAATCCCAGCGCTTTGGGAGGCCAAGGGGAGAAGGGGGGTCACCTGAGGTCAGGAGTTTGGTATTAGCCTGGTCAACATGGTGAAACCCCAACTCTACTAAAAATTAGCCGAGTGTGGTGGTGCGGACCTGTAGTCCCAGCTACTTGGGAGGGTGAGGCAGGAGAATCGCTTGAACTAGGGAGGCAGAGGTTGTAGTGACTGCACTCTAGCCTGGACGAAAGAACAAGACTCCGTCTCAAAAATAAATACATAAGTAAAATTTTCAACATTTCCACTTATTTATGACTAACAATGGTCTTAAGACAAAGAATTAACC